AATCGGCAGGAATGGGGAAATCAGGAATGCTGCAGATATCTGCAGTAATCTGCAGGAATGGGGAAATCAGGAATGCTGCAGATATCTCCAGTAATCGGCAGGAATGGGGAAATCAGGAATGCTGCAGATATCTGCAGTAATCCACAGGAATGGGGAAAGTAGTAATGCCGTGGATGCTTCTCAGGTTCTCCGGTATGCTTCTCAGGTAATGGGAAAAGCGGGAATGTTGCTGATATGTGAAGTAATCCGCGGGAATGGGAAAAGTGGGAATGCTGTGGATATTTGTGGCAATTTGCTGGAATGGGAAAAGCATGAATGCTGTGGATATAAGCGGTAATCCGTGGGAATGGGGAAAACGGGAATGCAAAGGATATCTCAGGTAATCTGGGGGAATGGGGAAAGCGGGAATGCTGCAGATATCTTGGTTAATCCGTGGGAATGGGAAAAGTCGGGATGGTTTAGATGTTCGCAGGAACAGATGGGAATGAGGATACATGTCATACCCATGCAGCGCTCTATCCTGAGCCTCTGCCATATCCTACAATGATAAGGATCTCTGCTACACAGAGGCAATCTCTATTTCCACCAGTGTGAAATTTGATAAAGACTTAGGCTTTACATTATTCGTCAAAGCCCTACATGCTGAGCTTCTGGCCTGTACTACTAAACGAAAGCTTGCATTTGACCCCAACAAACACTCTGGTCTCTCCTCCTCTATTGGCCACCAGTTGGAGCTCACAGTTCAGGACCTGGGTAATGATACGTAAGGCCAAACGTGAGGGACAGCGCCACTCAACCATCTCACAAGACTAGCGTAGCGAAATGGTGAAGCCTGTCTTTTATCCTATTGTGCACCTCAGCCAATCGTGGAGAATCCTCAGCACACCCAATGTCTGTCCACAACTACAACTATCAACGGGGATTGTCAGGGAGATCTGAATGACCCTTCTCAAGGTTGGGAACATGACTTTATCGAGCAAGATGAAAACAAACAAACGTAATCTGACTATACCCTCCGCAAATGTATATAATTCAGGCATTTACGTTTATAATTCATTTATAATTCAGGCATTTACACATGCAAGTAATGTTACGTTAGCGAGCTAACTAGCTTATCACCAACTACAGCCAGATCTTACTTCCCTCATCCTCATCTATCCTTACTGCTTCCCTGTCTCTGCTTCGTCCGAAGAATTTCCTTATATCCATCTACAGAAGTCATTCAATAATGTTTTAGTTAGTGCCCCAGTAAAAGGGGTCTAGCGATGCCCATGGCCTACAGGCAAAATGAACAGAACAAATAAATATAAACATCACTCGTTGTATGACATTAGAAAGACATACATCGATCTGTAATATTGGTCAGTGACTTTAAGGCATTATAATTATATTTCGGCTATGCACAATCCACAATCATTATTGTTTAAAACTGCACCACCATTAACGGGAGGGACCCCTGCAGCTAGGACACCACTGACAGATGTCTGCAAGAATACCGGACTAATTGGGCCATGAATCTACTACAGCGGATATGTTTCTGCATCCCCTCAATTAACCTAGTCCGGGCACCTCAAGTAATATTTTTCTTCTGTATGGAAGTAGGAATGGGAAGACAGAACCTGACTTTAATAGGGTTTTGGCTGCTCAAAGGAAAAAATAGGCAGGGCAAATACCGAAGTAGGTTTTACAAGTAAGTATAAGGACAGAATGTGCAATCTAACTTATTGAGGAGGAAGGGAAACATTCATAAAGCAGCTGCAATTGAAGGAAGGATTCGATTTTATATCATTTTTTTAGCATTTTGTCTTGGCTTTGTCTTGTTGAAAGATTGTACCAGGGTGCTGTCTCAGGAGGGGTAAGACATGTGGACGCAGGATGTCACTGATGTAATGCTATGACTCCCCACACCATGATGCCACGAGTAACGCTGGTGTGTCTCCACAACATTGGCAGGATTGGTCCTCTCCCATAGGCACTGCCATACATGCACACAACAGTCATCCGTGGTAATGCAGACCCGAGATTCATCGCTGAATATGGTACGATGCCACTTATCATTAGTTCATGCCTCCCGGTTATGGCACCACTCCAAATGCAGTCGTCGGCTACCTTGGCATGGGACAGTAAACCCGTAGTCTGGCTGATGCCAGTCGTTGAGATACAGTGTGGGATGACATGAGGTGTTGTAGAGAGTCCAATACCTGCGTCCAAATGGCAGGCACAGATGTCATGGAGTCCTGTAATGCTTGGCACAGAATATGACGATCCTCCCTTGGTGTGGTCTGTCTTGGGGGACCAGAACCTTCATGACGTGTGTGGGTGCCCTCACGTGCCCATTGGTTTCAACATTGGTTGACTGTGACATCTGCATGCCCCACATGCTGGGCAATTGCACGATATGACCATCCAGACTCATGCAAACCCGCAATGCGACCCCTATGAAACTCTGTCAAGTGCTGGTAATGCTGTCTAATGCATCTAGGAGGCATCCTCTGTGTCTGGTGACTAGAGGTGCCAGCTCCTTGCAAATCGAATCATTTACATACCCATTGCTGGTCTGCATATGTACCAGATCAGACCATTACTACTACAGTAGGTGCTTAACTTTTTTGTCACTGAGTGTAATTACCTATTTAAATTAAATAACGCAATTAAAAGTACGGAAAATAAAATGGGCTCCTTACCCTTTAGTCTTGCGTGAAAATATTAATGGACAAATGCAGCCTAATTCCCCTAATATTCTTTTTATGATTATGGTCATCCGAACTTCTGAATGTGCCCAATGAATGTGTGATATTAGGTACAGTGATAGATTTTGATTGTTGTACTCTCTTGCAGTCTCACAGCAGCAACATTAAAATGATATAACTACCCAGACAGCACACATGCACTAGCACAATGTCCCCACAAAGGTTGAAAATCCATCAGCAAAGCATCTCTATATCACAGAGACATCACTACTGAATATTGATTCGACATTCCCGGATGTGCGATGCAGTTCAACAGCAACATGATGTTAATCAGATCAGTATGTGACAAAAGAGCATTTTTTACTCTGTTACTCATGGCTTAATACAGTTCAATGTGCAGTTTATCTGAGCATGTTTATTGGTCTGGTCATGTTTAAGTAACACTACTTTATGCTGTAGTTACACTACACCCAGCATACTTTTGCTGGAATTGTATCCAAGCCAGCATTACAATTTCCAAGGTATGAGTAACCTGCAGCTACAATTTGGAGTAATGGAAACTACTCGGTGTCGGTGTTTAAATCTAAACGTATCTATCAGATTAACCAAATATAACATACAAAACGTACAATAATTGATTTCAAGTAAGTAGTGGTATTATTAAAATGTATATATACCCACGTACTTAACTAATTTATCATAAATCTGTTAAAATGTGATTTGTATTTAATTTTCTGTGCAGAGAAACTTATTATACCGTAATTTGGAAGCTGAATCAGAACTGAACCAATTAGGATAAGTTATCAGCGAAGTATCCGCGGTATCCCTGTTGCTTTGGACTGACGACTCTCAATCGAAAAGCAGTCGGTACATGGGTAACTAATGTCAACTGTACACACTGTAACTAATGGCTCCGGGTGACACAACCATTCTGATTGACCTTGTGCAGAGTTTTCCTGCACTTTATGCAAATCGGTCGAATTGTACGCGCGCCTTACGAAAAGGACACGTTAACAGAAAAATACCACCTATCTCAGCACCTTCCTGTGAAATTGCAGATATCTTACAGTAGGTAGTGACTCATTAGACATTTTGCTGCTGATCTAATGTGGGCACCTTAAAACCTACAATCACCTATACGGTCGTATTTTACTTTTTCGCCCAAATAAATTGTCACGTCCATAGTAATACAATGCAGCTTAAATATTACAGTGACATCACTGGTCAGAAAAGTATTTCACAGCGAAATACTAGTCGAGTGGCTAGTTAGCAGTTTAGCATGTACCCTTACTACTTACATTCGAGACGGAAATATGTCGATCCTTTCTTTTCCTGACATCTTGCTTCTTGTAGTTTTAGCGATTCGTCTCTTATATTTTCACGCTTAGTTCTCCGTGACGTGTCCACCGTATAATGATATGTTTTACTGGGAAGTATAGACAGTTCTTGTCGTTTACAAGAGATACTCCGCTGTCAAAGTGAAGCCGAGTCGGTCAGCTGACGCAGGGTCACGTGACTGGACGGTAGCGCTTCTGGTGCGATCGGTTATGGCGAGACTGGGTACTAGTCACATCAGCACAGTTTAGCAAGTCAGTGCTGCTGAACATGTTCCTTTTTTCTCAGCTAAGTATTATAGTATTATAAATATCCGTATAATTTGTACTTAAGAGACCGCTGTTCTGGCGGTCACTTGACGGCTCACATTAATGATTCCAGACGTACATTATGATGCATATACAGCCGCAAGAACATATAGTGCACAGACGAACGTACATATAGTGCCAAGCAATCGAGGTACAAAGACAGTGCACATAGTACAAAGTTTTTCATCTATTAAAATGAAAAAGGCAGATTATCTGTTCTATATAAAAAAAAAAATTCTTGCATCTGCGCAGAACGCGGTGCTAGGATCGAAGATGACTATAGAGTACAGTTTCCTTTCTCATGGTGAGTCATGTCTTTGAAACAAGTTATGTCAAAGCACAACAGAAGTGCTAAGATATAACAGTCAAAATCATATCAGCAGAGATCCCAAAGCATCGTGTGTGTGTGTGTGTGTGTGTGTGTGTGTGTGTGTGTGTGTGTAAGCCTCTCTGCCTGTGATTAGATGGTTGCTTGTCTGAGTCTGGCAGAATAATCACATCACATCCTTGAGCAAGGCCCTTAACCCCAAACTTAATAGGTGTTGATGTAGATGGCTGCCCTTTACTGTCAAGCTTGCTCTAACCTATGTATGTGTCTGTGTGTAATGGAGAGAAAAGTGGGGTGGGCAACAAGGAATTTCCTCATGAGGGATCAATAAAGAGTTATATTTTATTTATAACTGTGTAAAATTATTTACTGATAGTGACTGGTTTCAGCAGTAGAAAATTATTTGAATCTAAAAATCCAGTTGCAGAAAACCAATAACATCCATCCATCTGTAAATCCATCCGACAATTTTCTGTAATTGTTTATCCTATTCAGGGTCACAGGGGATCCGGAGCCCATCTCGGAGGCTACGTGCGCAAGGCAGAGAACAACCCAGGATGGGGAGCCAAGCTAATGGAGGGCACCCTCACACACCATTCAACTAGCAACATACAGGCTACATAGGCCGTGTGGATATTAAGTTTGTTTTTCCGCTAGACGGCGCTAACACATTTCTGGTGGAGGTATTTAACTTTGTCTCTTCTTCTTTTGCTGTTTTGTCACGTATGTCCCGACATCACTTCCGGGTTAATTATCATACGTTCTTGTGCACTGATGTACCAGAAAGCATTGGATAGCAGGCTTTTCCTTGCGTACTAAACCTACAAGAAACGTTCTTTATTCATATACTAAAGTGTAATTTGTCGCCATTCAAAGTTTGATTCACTAATATAGGTGAGTTCTTTTGTTCTGAAATGCAAGTAGGTGTATGATATGCAAGGCGAAAAGTTAACCGTTAGCTAGCTGGCTACCTTGCATGTTAGCTAGGTGCTGACTGCAGCATGGGAGCCCATAGCTACCCATATAACCAATAATGGATTTATTTTTGTCATTTTTAGTGCACGATGAGCCCTTAGCATCACCTGGCGTCGTTTTTGACTGTCGTATAATTATTTTAAAAATAATCAATGTACCGTTTTTGGTTAATCTACTTAGTTATACTATTACCATATCTTACTAGTCTAATGGCAGTGAAATAGGCGTCGTACATTTTCTTTAACCCGGGATAGTGAAGATGTTTATCATAAGTCATATGTGGATATAGGTTGGCCCAAGAAGGAATATTGTAACTTGCCTGAATAGTGCGTCTGTTGAAATTTTGACACACTCCAAAACCACGAACAGGTTACTAATTTACTGTCAGCGTGAAATATTTTTTTAAATAACAGTAGTCTGACGTACCGACATGTATTGTTCAGTTACTGACTTATTCCGTTGTTTAACTGTTTAGCATGATTTAATTAACATGCTTTCCTTGTTCAGGAAGGTGACGCAAACGTAATCGTTTCCTTTAATCACATTTATTACTTTATTATCTTCTATTACTTCTCTTAACACGTATTTTTGGCAAACAAAAAAATATTAAGATTAAAATCGGTGTTAAGGATGATAATGATTCGTTTTCACCCTTTTCTTAAATTAACAGCTGTGTAGAGTTAAGCTGAATTAGTATGCAGAAATAGTACGTTAATCTAATTTGTTTTGAACCAGTAAAACTCATTGTGTTTTGTTTTTCCCAACTTGTACTTTTTCTGTATATCTGTGCTCCATGTGAGTACCCTGCCTGGTAACCGACTCATTGTTTCTCTGTCTGTGGTGGTAAACCCATGTTCATACATTTAGTGATGCCGGGCCTCAGCTGTAGATTCTACCAACACCGGTTTCCGGAAGTGGAGGATGTGGTGATGGTGAACGTGCGTTCTATTGCTGAGATGGGTGCCTATGTCAGCCTGCTGGAGTATAACAACATCGAGGGAATGATCCTCCTTAGCGAGCTGTCGCGTCGACGCATTCGCTCCATCAACAAGCTCATCAGGATCGGCCGCAATGAGTGTGTGGTTGTCATACGAGTTGATAAGGAGAAGGGTGAGGGCATGTTGCTGTGTCGTCTGTCTGACATTTCTGCTTCTTGTAACGTGTCAATAATAGTTTTATTGGTACTGCAGACTAACTCTCTCACCTGTCATTGTGTGTGTGCCCCACAGGTTACATTGATTTATCAAAGAGAAGAGTTTCACCTGAAGAAGCCATTAAGTGTGAAGATAAATTCACCAAATCAAAAACTGTAAGCACTGGTTCTTCCTTTAAAGTCAATTCTGAAGTGTGCAGAGCAGTATGGCAGATTTGGGCTGTCTCCATCTATAAATTATTTAAAATTTTGTATGATGAAAAAGAAATTTAATGTTCCATCTGCTTTTGACGTGAGGCTCTTGGGATGATGTGGGTGTGATGTTGCAGGTTTACAGCATCCTGAGGCATGTGGCAGAGGTTCTGGAGTACAGTAAGGATGAGCAGCTTGAGAGCCTATTCCAGCGCACCGCCTGGGTCTTCGATGAGAAGCACAAGCGCCCTGGATATGGGGCCTACGATGTTTTCAAGCAGGCAGTGTCGTGAGTAGATTTCTGAGCTAGGAAACTTACCCCTATTTATTAATACACAATGGGAAGTTACTAACCTAACTGATGCTGTCTCTATTGTTTTTTTTTTTTTAAATGATAATCTAATCGCAGTACATATCAAATAATATGGGAGAATTGCTCCTGGTTTAAAGAGACATGTGTCTAATGGATTTTGAACATGCATTTAAGTTAATATAAAAGCCATCAATTTATTTTAACCCTCTGTGACCTTTATACTTAGAAAGTATCTATTATGTCTTGACATCAGTGTGTGCTTCCATTCAGTGACCCATCCATCCTAGATGGACTCGACTTAACGGAGGAGGAGAGAACAGTCCTCATCGACAACATCAACAGACGGCTCACACCGCAGGCTGTCAAAATCAGAGCAGGTAGGACACAATGTAACCACAGCCTCCTAACCTTCAGTTATCAACTCCTTTTCAGTACTGCACAGAGGTCTGCAAAATATCGTTTCAGAAAAACTGACAGCATTCTCAGAAATCTCTTTAATGTGTTTCATACTCTGATATAGTCATTACATTCACACGTGACTGCAGGCAGTGATGATGGAGCTCATCTCTGTCATCCTAGGTGTCTAAAGAAGATCAGTGTGTTAGATTAACAGTTAAAACATTGGTCAGTTGTTTATCCATTTCCTTTCTCCCCGGCAGACATTGAGGTGGCTTGCTATGGCTATGAGGGTATTGATGCTGTAAAAGATGCTTTGAGAGCCGGGTTGAACTGCTCCACAGAGGCCATGCCGATCAAGGTGAGTTGAAGCAGCGAGCTTCACCCTCTCTGACAAAGAGGTTCCCCTGTGCACACTAACATATCCTGGTGGTTTGACCAGCCGTCCGTATTTGCCCACAGATCAACTTGATCGCGCCGCCACGCTATGTGATGACAACAACCACACTTGAGCGCACTGAGGGCCTGTCCGTGCTGCATCAGGCCATGGCTGCCATCAAGGAGAGGATTGAAGAGAAGAGGGGAGTCTTCAACATCCAGATGGAGGTGGGTGCAAAGGCAGGGAGAAGGAGTGGTTGACGGGTGAAGGGTTAGCTACAAGCAAAGCGTTCTCCGGGCTGGTGTAAGCGTTTCCATGGCCTCTCCCCGCAGCCGAAGGTCGTCACGGATACGGATGAGACGGAGCTGGCACGGCAGCTCGAGCGCCTCGAACGCGAAAATGCCGAGGTCGATGGCGACGACGATGCGGAGGAGATGGAGGCCAAGACCGAAGACTAGCGACAACGGACCAAAGAGAGGATTAATCGAGGGAGAGACGCAGACAGATCTGGCCACAATAACACAGCCTGACAAACGCAACATGTTAAGAAATCACACACACACAGAGGCAGAATGAAGAAAAGTATTTCACATACCAGCAGGATTTGACTGCAGCTCTGAGCAAGCAGGTTCCCAGCCACTAACACAGACATGTTTGTACATACAATACACATGTGGATTAAAATGCCCTAAGGGGAAGCAAAAGACTGGAATTTAATTCATCTGGAGGAGACATACCTTTTAATGCAAATGACCTGTCTTGAGGTTTAATAAATTCAGGAAAAGAATGAGGAATAGTGATTTAGAGGATGTTTATAATAAATCTAACACACAGACATGTGGACAGACATGGACTCATAAGCAGTGGCCTTTTCTTGCAACGACAAAACCCAAAGTTCTTAGTCATCTTAGAAGTGTTCTTCCGCCATTCAGCCTGCAGAGGGAAGCTGGGAGTCGTGGTGTTTGTACACCTAGAACCCAGTTAGGGTCACTTTCACACCATACCTCTTCTGTTCAATTTTGTGGTTGCAGGATTGTGTTCTGGGTTAGCACATGTGGAATCAATAAAGCTCTGGAAGTTTTGAATAATTGATATTAAGTGTTGATACTAATTTACCCAGCTACTTATACTGTATTCTCAGAAGCCAGTGAGTTTTGAAAAGCAAATTTTGAATTTTATTTAAGTAGGACAATATGTAAACAGATTTATATTTCAAAAGAAACTCAAATATTACATTTTTTTTGCATTGTAGACCATGTGTGCAGATGTGGAGCATATTGTTTGACCCCTAGTTTTCAACACACCTGTTTTTGTATTGTATGTCTTGGTGGGATTTGAATATGCAGATTTAGCAGTATTAGGGAAGATGATTACATAATCCTTATTGATATTTTTAATGTTACAAACTGATGAATTTTGCTGAATTTGTAGAACTGTGCTTAAACAAAAGCTTATAAATAACTGTTAGCTGGGCTAAGGCATCAGGCAGCTTATAGCTTGGTTGAGATAATGAAAAAAATCCAAAATGGGTAATTTAGAAGATAAATGTTTTGATGAGTAACCTTTCAGGTTGATATAATGACCAAATGGAAAACTCGTTAATAGCAGTGTGTAGTTCAGTGATCAGAAGGTTGCCAGTTTGAATAGCAGGGTCAGCAGCCTGATGGCACCGTTTGGCCCCTGTGCAAGGCCCATAACCCCCAGCTCCAAGGATGCTGCACCCCCAAGCTTGCTCTGACCTGTTTCTGTGTCTCATGGGAAGCAAGATGGGACAGGTGAAAGGGGAATTACCCCATGGGGATTAATAAAGTATCACTATTCTGTTCTGTAAAAACATCTTTGGCACTTAATTGATACTTGCAGCTTTGTTTGTTGCACCATTGTTGCTTTCCCAAAATGCCCTTTCCCAAATGGTGGGTTCTGTTTTCCATGCTTCCAAACTAAATGTAGTGCTGTTAGTTCTGTTTACACTACTCACCTGCTGCTGCTATAGCAACTAATAGGCAAAAATTAGTTTTTTTCTGAAAAACAAATGGCCATTCTTTCTTCGGTTGTATTTCTGGATATGCATTGTTTGAAGAAATTCTTCACACTTATGTTGCATTCCAAGGTATAGAATTAATCATCACAATTCTATTACACCATAGCTTTGAAGAGGTGAAAATCAATAAGAAAATGCAGTTCTGATGTCTTGTTCAGAACAGATCAAATTTATTTCCAATGAATGTGAAAAAAAACTGATTCAGACTTTAGTCTTCTACTACCACTATATTACTAAGCTAATTGTGTTTCCTGGCTTGTGCCTGTAGCTTCTGGGATAGGCTATGGACCCCTTGTGACCCTGAATAGGACAAGTGGTTTCAGGAAATGGTTGGATGGATGGAAAGTTAATTGTTTGATCAGCCACAATTATCCATCCATTTTATTTTATCCATTTTATTATATCCATTTTATTATCCTATTAAGGGTTGTGGGGGGTCCAGAGCCTATCCCGGAGGCTTTGTGTGCAAAATAGCAGTCACAATAAGAAAAACTAATTCAAAATTTGGATGTGACCCATTCTAAGCAGAACAGCCCCTCTTGTTTTGCATAAATCCTCTTCTTTCTATACTATGGTTGTATTACAGATAATAGCCAAAAGCCATCTACTTATAGTGTAATTTCTACATTTGTATGTATAAATAAATCAGAAAGATTGGTGGGATGAAATATTTTGAGTAAAATTATAACTATTTGATCCCATTTCTCTTCAATTAGAATAGAATGCCTTCATGAAGTCAAGTGCAACAGAATTCAGTATTTACACATCTTATACTCCTATTAGACACATATAGGTGAGAGCAAAACTTGGATTCACAGTGTAGTCAGCTGTTTATCTGGAGCAGTTTTTGGGGTTAAGGGCTCGGCAGTGAGACCATTATTCTGTTGGCCACAGGATTCGAACCAATGACGGTCTGGACATAACCCACACAGCAATAATTTACTTATTTATAAAATCCTGAACCAAATCAGCGTTGATCACTGAGATACTGCCATGAGAAACAGCATACGCTGGAACACTGTACACTGACAAAAGCTGTCACATACATAGACACACAAACATGACAACATTAAACTTATACAAATAATAAAAAAAAACGAACAGCACGTAATTGTTAGCGCATCGCTTTGTCTTTATTGCTAAGATATTATGATATGTGCCGTGACTTAGTACATCGAGCCCTTATTACATACATGATTTCTCAGTATGATTATACCCTGAGCTAGAAATGACTGCCCTGCTTCTTTAAGGGCGTCAGGCTGCCCTTGCGCTAACAGAGCTGGAATCCCCGTACTGCTATGCTGAGGGGAACCAAAATGGTTGAATACTAACTGGCAGGAGCACATTAATCAAACGAAGACGCTGGGGATTAACGTAAACAACTGGCGGTGTGTGACATGTTCCGCGTAGGGGAGATGAATGATTACGCGCTTTTGGCTTGCTTTATTTTGGAACGCTGGCCAAAGAGTGAAAAGAGGCTAGCAGACGCGGCCCGAAGACAGAACATGGCGGAACACTTCTCATGCAACATAAAATTTTAGGGTAACAAGCTAAACAGAAATACGGCCGAGCTTCACTTTGAACCGCAAATCGGACGAGTCTGTAAATGAAGATAATGTCGCTGTCACACGGCCTTGGCTGCGTTCGAACGCTTACTGGTTTCGAAGAAATGAGGAACGCAATCGGCTAGCTAGCCGAAGTGCTAGTTGGCTGGTGATAAGTAGGGCTGTCTGCAGATCCATTTTCCTACCTTGAGGATTTTGTAAATTTTCGACACTGGTCTCCAGAAGTTTCGTGAGCTGAAATTACTTGATTTTCGTCGAAAAAAACAGCAAAGTACTATAAGGTAAGGTACCACAGTGTGGTTAGTCTGGGAGGAAGGGTCGGAAAGCGAAGCCCTTTTCGCTCTAAAAAACAATCAGGACAGTGTGCAGGATGACGGACACACGCCGGCGAGTGAAGGTTTACACCCTCAATGAAGACAGGCAGTGGGACGATCGGGGTACCGGGCACGTCTCGTCCAGCTACGTCGAGAGGTTTAAAGGGATATCTTTGCTGGTACGAGCCGAAAGCGACGGTAAGGATTCATACGGCCGTTGGGGAGAAAATGATCCTGGTTGTGAATCTGACAGGAGGGCTGCGTGGTTTGTTAGGCAGGGAGTAAACAAACAAGCGTGCCTCGTGCTGTTTACGTGTGGCGCGTGTCAGTGTTGTTCTTGTTGGGTCACGTGTCCTGCACCGTGCTTTTCACGGCAATTCATTTATTTTTCACTTCTCCGCTGCACCCAAGTCATGCGCTTGCACCAGTGGTGGTTTTGTGAAACATTTTTTAAAATGACGTTTCCATTAGAATAGAATTCCATGTTTTTCCTCCAGTCATTCATATCAGACTTACTTTTTTCAAGGGCTTTTCAAATCATAACTGTCTAGTTCGGGGTCTTGGTGCACATAGAGCACTAAACAATAGACACCCTGAATATATACATTGTATAGTTTACATCTAATGAGTTGATCAATAAAATCATGTTTGACTTTTCTTTGAAGGTTCTCTTTTGCTGGAATCAAAAATAAACCCAAACACTGCTTACCAGAAACAACAGGTCAGTAATATAGCACTCTTTATCTAGGGCAGGTGTTTCCATTCTCATTCTCTGGAATTGGCAAAAATAAAATAAGTAGATTAACTTCCTGGACGTTGAATGTACCTATTATTTAAAGATTGAACTAACTAGTTTTGGGGAGAGATTTCAACTATGGTTGTAAGCTCAAGTTCTGTTTTTTGAACATGGGGTGACGTTGTGTCTTTTGCTATTCACAGGACACATTAATAGTGTGGTCCGAAGCTGATAACTATGACCTGGCGCTTAGCTTTCAGGAGAAAGTGGGGTGTGATGAAATCTGGGAGAAAATATGCCAGGTAAGGCATTTTAAGTCAAGTTATGTGTGGCAAATACAATCATTTTCATCTGCAGTTTGCACCATGTGATTACTCCTAGGTATGAATATATTTTAGTTTTAGGCCCATTTGAGCAATTTTACCCAGAACTGAGTCCTAACAAACTGGACTTACCTTGGACATTTATATTGTGTGAGATCAGGTCCAGGGGAAGGACCCTTCTGTGGACATCACACAGGACTTGGTGGAGGAGTCTGAGGAGGAGCGTTTTGATGACATGTCATCCCCTGGCTTCGAGCTGCCCCCCTGTGAGCTGAACCGGCTGGAGGAGGTAGCAGAGCTGGTGGCCTCGTCACTGCCCTCACCGCTGCGCCGTGAGAAGCTGGCTCTAGCTGTAGAGAATGAAGGCTACATCAAGAAGCTCCTGGAGCTCTTCCATGTCTGTGAAGACCTGGAGAACCACGAGGGGCTGCACCAACTGTTTGAGATCATTAAGGGAATTTTTCTCCTCAACCGGACTGCCCTTTTTGAGGTCATGTTCTCTGATGATTGTATCATGGATGTGATTGGCTGCCTGGAGTTTGACCCCTCCCTGCCCCAGCCCCGGAGACACAGGGAATTCCTGACTAAGACTGCCAAGTTCAAGGAGGTCATCCCCATTTCAGACCCTGAACTCAAGCAGAAAATTCACCAGACGTACCGAGTACAGTACATTCAGGATATGGTCCTGCCCACCCCTTCTGTCTTTGAGGAAAACATGCTCTCCACTCTTCACTCCTTTATTTTTTTTAATAAAGTGGAAATTGTCGGAATGCTGCAGGTAAGTGGTCGTTTCTTCCTTTGATGGATCTTTCTCCCTTTTAAGATGTATGTCTATACTCATCATGGAGCTGAGTGTCTGTCCTCTCTTGTTAAAGTGAAATTCAGTCTTTGCTTTTTTGAAAGCTGTAATTCTGTTGTATTAATTAGGTTTTCTCTTTATCTGTTCTGTTGAACATGCTTAATCCATTTGCTTTTCTCCAATATTTTTCTGTATTTATGTCAGTGTTTTTTCAGTGTAAAAAGTGGTGAAACTATTAAAACATTTCTGGGAAAATACCTAAGGGAATGGAAAAAACCTTAATGTTTCTGAACTCAGTAGTGTCAAATGACCAG